GCGAAATCAAGTTGAAGAAACTTTACGTGCTATGTATGCAGAATTTAAGGAGCGGTACTATTTATCTAAACAAGTTAGTCCATCGACATCCAAATTAGTTTCTGTAACTAATCGAAATGAAATGCATGCTTACTGTAAAAGGTTCATTAAATCTGCTTTTTCATCAACCAAGATAATAAAGAAGTTACAAATTATCTTGCTCTTCCTGAGTAGAGTTTGGAACCGAATTTATTTTTTAAATCCGAATTTATTTTTTAAATCCGAATTTATTTTTTAAATCCGAATTTATTTTTTAAATCCGAATTTATTTAATTAGTGATCTCCAGTTTCGGATTTAAATCCGAATTGTTAAGTCGATATCCGGTTTTATTCTGCACTTTATTGGATTGGCTAAATTAGAATAAAAACCAGCTCCAGATTAATTAGTATCATCGTCATTGTATGTGCGTATGTACAGATGTACCTATTTAATTGATTATACGCCTGGTGAAAAAAGTTTTTGACTATCTAAAACAATGGATTTATCATTACGGAGCGAGCAAATGCTTTTGTCTTCTTTATGTTTATGTTTCAGATCGTGCAGATTCGGTGGATTCGGTTTTATATTCGGATTTGATTCGAATCCGAAGGAATTCGGATTTAAATCCGAAGGCTGAATCAAGTTTCACCTGAGCTTAATTTCGAGGAGATCCATGGTGCGGTGGTCTTTACAAAAACGGCAATTTCCGATTTAAGTGAAATGGCCCCAAAATTTCTTACAATTCCTGCAACAAGCATACCAAGTAAGCGCTTGTTTTCAGATGCAGGAAATGTTGAGTGCGAAAAGGACGTTATTAAAGTCAGTTATTTGGCAGAATGGTATTTCTAAAGCGTAATATGAAAACCATCTTTACTATTTCTGATGTCTAGGATTAATGCATGGTTGTGTTATAATATAAATCGCAAATAAGTCATGTAAGCGAATATTAAATAATGTAGCGGTAATAATACAGGTTGCTTTTATAACGCGTAAATTATAATTCATATAAATTGTATGTAGCGATAATTGTGCAAGTCGTTTTTGTAATGTCGCAAATTGAAAGTATGGTACAATTGATAAATTTCATGTTATACTAAATTCTTTTATTTATTTTTTAAAAACTCAAAATTTTTTACCAATGTTCGAAAATCTAGAGTTTGTGATCGAAACGCATCGATTCCAATCTCTAACCCTGAGTATGCTGCTCTATGTACAATCTTTACTGATAAATTATTAGTAGTGCTTCTAATAATCAGATTGGGTCAAGTCTGATGTCTATCCAAAAACTAATCTGAGTTTTACAAATTGGTGAATCTAATAAACATGTATATAATTAGTTGGATTTTTTTTTTACTTAAAATTATATATTTGCTGCCAAGAGAAACCTGTCGTTGAAGTTTCAAGTTCATTGCTTGTTAACAATAAAAAGTCTGACAGTTTTAAGTTGATTAATAATAAGTAAAAGTCACGTGAGGAATATTAATTACTATTTAGACGATCCAAATAATATGAACACGTGATAGTAGATTTAAGTAAAAAAAAAAAAAAAAAGAAAATTGAATTCTCAAGCGAAATTTGATAAGGAGGACACTTGTATAGTCCTCATGAATAGTCAGCAATAAAGGACCATGCAGTTTTGTACATACACGGTTGGCACTGTTGGGCTATTAACATATTCCTTCTTTAATAAGTGTTGTGAGCGAAAGAAGGAAAATTTTCACAAAATTTTAGACTTTTTCGGTTTTGGATTTCCACTACAATAATAGATCTGTAGTGATGGCTACTAGAATCAATGATAGATGTCTTCCTCTACGTCCCAATTCAATGGTTCATCACTCTTCCTCACCGTTGTTTGAATTAATGAATATGCCCAGCCGTCTTATGCTGGAAAAAGTTTATCTAAACAGATTGCACGCTTTAAGGCACTTTGAACTTCGAAACATAACACAAAGCACTATCCTTATCAAACTACGCTCCAACCTTGGCTCCCAGATCGCGTTTCAACTCACTAATGAAAATCTTCCTGAATTGAGGCCATGTTCACCCATCCCAAAGGAAATTAATGACTCGTCAAATTCACCGTCGCCTTATATTTCACCCGTCCCTGAAAATGATATATTACTTAGTACGAAGCCAGAAGATCCACTGACTAATATTACTACAAATACAGTCGCTGCAGCTGCAGCTGGAGCATTTGGGGATAATGTCAATGGGCATCAGTTCAATCAACTTTTTAATTACGTAAACCATATAGACGAAGTAGAAATCGCACCCGGATGTTCTCAAAGGGTTATTTTGGCATTTTTACCAGACCATCGTCACAAAAGTCGAAGATCCGCCGCCGATAGTTCTTTGACATCTTCATCTGTGGATGACATCAGCGGTGTGTCCATTATTATGATGAACTCTAATAAAGTAGAGGATCCAAGAGTTAATGCTAATCTATTTACACCATCACTTGAAGAAAATGAGACTTTTGATTTTTTTGAAGTCAATGGTCTTCTGTTTTTTTTTGCTTATTTGGTTGACAGGCAAGAAGAAAATGATGCAAATACTCATTCTTCGACGTCTTCGACCATGGAAATCGATATAGGTTTGATTCAATTCAATAAATGTTATTTAAATTAAATTGCATATACAATAAAGCTTACCTTTTATATGATTTTATTATTATTATTATTACTATTACCACTATGCCAATTATATCACAAAGGAAAAGATTCAGAATATATCCAATTTTCATCCTTGGATAATAAATTATCCAAATCCGATATTGAGAGCACGCCCTATCGTGACATAGAGACTATCAGTGGCACATCCAGAGCAGATCACCAGGTTACCGTCAAGTTTCGTTCCACAGTATGTCGTTCCGTGTTGTGGACAGACGTTGGGGAAACTGGAATAAACTTTGATGATTGTGTGATTGGTGGCGTTTACTTTAAGGATTTTACTATTTGGAATCGATCAGAAATCGAATTATATTGGCTTTTAAATACAGTTGACTTGTCTTATTCTAAACGTGAAGATTGGTTGAAATTTACAGATTATGATACAGGAGAGTTATTGGATACCAAACCAATACCAAGTTACTCTCATAGGAGAATTAGAGTCACATTTCGACCAAAGGAAATCGGTGAATTTAATTACGATCTTCAACTTGAAAATGCCAATGATCCTACGAATGTTTTGCAAAGCAGGATTCATTCAGTTGTTAGATCAGTGTTAAGCGAAGAGTCATTAGTCATTAGTAGTGGTAATATCCTCGATTTCGGAGATTGCTGCGCTGGTGTCTGGAGCAAACAACAATTGGTGCTAAAGAATGTCAGTGAAAGACCCCTGGAAATCCATTTTACATCTGAAAATGCAGATGTATCATTTCATCTGATTAATAATGAATTAATAAAATATGATAATATGAGTACGAGGGCTCATATCGAAGATTTGGAAGACATGGCACCATTACATCAGAAATTCAATGATACGAACATTTCCAGCAGTACACCCATGGTTAATAATATCAATTCTAGTCTAGTTAGTGAAATTTCAGTTCCTGGAAGTGAGGTTAGTTCCAGGTCGATGTCTCCAATTGCTCCAACACACGAGTCAGATGGATTAGTTTCCCCTGAGAATATAAGCGTAGTCAGTGAGCCATCATCGGAGGCTGCATCAAGATCAGCGAGCAGACATCGCACCAGTGTTATGGAAGATTCGGATTTGGAAAGTGAAAACATATATGGACGAAGCTTTTTAATTAGTGATTCTTTTAGGAAATCTGATTTTGGTATCGGAGATGCTGATGGATCCGCTCAAATAGAAGAACTCCGTCTTAAACCCGGAAAGGAACGTACTGTTCAGGTGTCTTACCGTCCAGAGAAAGATTCTTCAGCCACAGATTTCAATGCTATTCTACTTACCCGTAAAACATTTCGAATTATTGTTCAATATGTTCCTATCAATGCTAGCTCAACTAGTTTAAGTACAGTCGGTCAGGGGCGCAAAATTATTCAATGTAAAGCTCGCAGCTGCACCTCATTCATTGAAGTCAGTCCAAAGGAAGTCAATTTCGGAGATACAGATGTTGGCACTCTTAAATCAATGCCTATTACCGTTACGAATTTATCAGAGTTGACTGCACGCGTTGAACTTAGATTTGATTCAAAAGTACTCTATTGCACTCGTAAGGAAATAATTATCCCACCAAAGCTTTCAACGGAGGTCAAGCTTGATATGTATCCCAGAAAAGTGAACGTGGAATATCGTAAGCAAATTACCGTCGTTAATTTACAAAATCGAGATAATGACCAGATAATTGAAGTTAGAAGTACGAACATCGACAAGAATCGCGTCACATTTCATTCTTTATTTTATCGAACTTTAACATCAAATGGCAGTAATTTCATTGATTTTGGATATACTGTGCTGAATTCACCGTCCATCCGGACTTTTACGATTGATAACATTGGCACCAAGAAATTAGTTCTTGAAATAACGTCTTCTTTGCCCGAAGAGATAGTCATGTATCAGAAACGTAAAAAAACTGATGACCTTAGCAACCAAGGAGACATCATTACGAATGCACTCATAGATTCAGATGGTAATCTTGGAAGGAGTGGAGAGACTGATTCAAATAGCTTCAAAATAGAAAAAAGAGAGAAGTTATTAAAATCTATTTGTGAACGTCGGCTAGTAAAAAAATATACTTTAACTACTGACTTTACTGGAAAAAATATAAATATAGCAAATTTATCTGCAGCAAATTCTGAAATCAAGACGGAAGAAACTCATTATAGCATTTCTAATAAACGACTTTTTCCAAACACACCTGATGTCTCTCTAGCTGAGGTGACAACATATAATACGGATTATCTTGATTTGGCAGGTCCCGCGTCAGTAGATCTGCGTCGTTCTTCACGAAGGAGGCAACAGAAAACACCGATAAGTAAAACAGGCATAAGTCCCGCGATCGAAAGAATAAGAGAAAGTTATTCTGTACCTGTTTCTACAAGTGGTTCTGGTAGTATTTGTGCTTTCAATACCGGTTCAACTAATGCCCCAAACGCTTCTTTTGAGAGAGCGAATTCTGATATCGGCGAGAGTAATGTTGGCGATAAGTCGTTGGGAGATAAATTGGATCACGATTTTGAAAGCACTAACCTAATACTTACAAAAGGAAATTATGTAAAAAATAAAGTTGTAGATAGGTATACATTTTCTAATATGCCTATAGACATTCTAATCGCAACCCTTGAGGCCAATAACATAACAACCCCGCCATTGTTTCCTAAGTCATCAATTGAAGAAGCTTACGTGCAAAATCAGATTGGTCTCATGCGAGAATTACGTAACCGGATAAAAGAACATCAGATTGTTCCAATTAAAATGGTAGAAATTCCTCCCTCCGGTGAAAGTCAGATAATAGTAATCTTTACACCAAAGCAAGTGCTGCGACCAAATGTGCAAGGTTTACCAAAAAAGTGCGATGCTAAAGTATTTATACGCCTAATAGATTTTGATCGTGACATTCAGCAGCCTCAGTTTGATGGTTTACTTCATGGTAATCAGGACCAAATTCCTGTCAGGGAACTTATGGTGAATGCTACATTATGTAGGTCGTATATGGTTCTTGGGCAAAAAAATATTAATTTTGGAATAATAGATAAGGGTGAACGTCGAAATAAGACTATACTCATTCAAAATAGAAGTGAAGTGCCTTTGCTATATAATATACGGAAATCCGGATCGATTACATCTAGAGACGTTGTATTTGGTGCAGGTCAATTAGGAGTCGTCCGTGGATATGGAAATAAAGAAGTAGAGTTCACTTTTAAATCTAGATTTACGGGTCAATTTTATGAGAGGTTTATTATTGAAAATATCCAAGATCACGATAATAACCAAATGCTTTCAGTTAAAGCAGATATCCGTAAACCATTTAACTTTTCTATCCAGCCACCAAATATTGATTTTGGTACTTGTCTAATTAATGACAATGCACCAGTTGTACAGAGCATTATAGTAAGCAACACTAACAAACAATCACGCACATTTGAGGTGCGAATTAACCCACGAGATTTAAAGTTTAATGCATGTTTTGGTGAATTGGATTTTATCCCTCAGGAAGAAGTTGATGGTGTATTATCGACCGGTGGAATTCTTAGCAAGGAAACGGAAGATAAAATTGAAGATTTGGAACAAAAAGTTAAAATTGCAAGGCGTAAAGGTCACACTGGCAAAGTGGAGCAAATTGAAAAACAATTGGAGACATTGCGACGAGGGAAATCAGGAATCGAGGATTCGAAAACTGCAAATGAATTAGTTAACGAAGCTGCTATAGACTTTGTAAATGACATTGCGTCAAAGGAAGAAAAGTTCATTTGTGTTAGTGATGAACAACAAACAATTTCTGAGGAAACATTATTGGGTAGCTCAACCAACGAACGTCCTGGCGAAAACAATTTTACGCAAAGTAGACAGCCGGCACGTGCCGAAAAATTGACAGATCATCATACTAAGCGCATCTTCAACTCTAATTCTAGTAAAGGAAAAGATGCCAACTATAAAAAAACGTCTACGTCAATTATTTTCTCTATTGAGCCTCAGACTACAAAAACGGTGTTTTTATATTTTAGGGCCATTGCTACCAACATGTTAAGCTCAACCAGCGAGGAAACAGTGTGCCAAGGAATATCTTGCGAACAAATTACTGGTCAAGTATATGTGCATGAGCATAAAAACACTGATATTGTTAAGGCTATTAATTTTCATGCTACAGTTTGCTATGACTCCAGTTATTTTCAGGCATCAAATGATGTGTCTAATAATAATGAGAGTCGTTCTGAGACAGGGTTTTCTACTACAACCACAGAAATATCTGAACAAATAGTAAAGGAAAAGTCAAATTCTTTATCTTCTTTACGCAATACATCCAATGCAATAAGTTTTCCAGCTTTGCAGGGCTATTATTTAGCTTCTTCAAGATCTTCAGCTCGTTCACCATCGCTAGGACCGTTACAAGAAGATGCAAACTCTTCCGAAAACAACGACTATTTACCTGAAAATTTAAGTTTAGAGCCGTCAGTTCTTGACATTGGGAAACTTGAAGTCAATCAAAATCACAACTATTACTTTAAATTAACCAACAGAGGTGATAGTTTGCTAGAATATGAAATTATTGTTTCGGAAAGCGAGTGTTCTTTTTTTCAAATTGATGAGAAACGTGGAAAACTATCGGCCCAAGAAACACGTCGGGTTGATTTTACAGTCATCGCAACTGATGTTGGTCGCCAAAAGCATTCGTTGATTGTCCGGAATTGTGAAACTCAGGCTCAATGCAGCTTTACTCTTCATGGTTACATTCATTATGCTCAATATCTGTCATTCCCATCACTTGAAGATGAGCTAAATTTAGGGTATTGTTATGTGGATCCTGGAAGAAAATATTCACAAGTTACTCCTCTTATAGTTGAAAATATTACCAATAAAGACATTTTTATCACTTGCCAAAGTAACTTATCTTTTCAAGTGTCAGTTTTTCTTGATGAAAATGGTGAACGTGGTCAAGTCGTTGAGACATTGTTAAGAAAAAAGACTAAGATGACGGTTTGGGTCGCGTTACAGCCTAATCTCTTTAACGGAGTCCTTGCAGCGTCCAGGGGGAATAATGGTAATGCAGTGAATTCATTAGGAAACACGTCCATGGGTACTAGCATAATTGACCGAAATGCGATAGCAAATGGCGAATGTCGTGAATTAATCGGTGGCATTAAATTCTCAGTTCAAGTCAAGGAGGAGGATGGGTTCCAGATCATAAATTCTGATAATGATACTGTAGAGATGAAAAATAAGGAATCTGCACTAGAATTGTTTACTGTAATAACACAAACGGTCAAGTTTAGATCTCTAATTGGTCGTTCCATCTTGTCAGTTTCAGACTCTCTAATAAATCTTGGCTCGACTAGAGTTGTGGGCGACACATTCGATGGCTCATTCACTGTGCGAAATATGTCTAGCCGTCTTCCGCTAGATTACGTGGTTGAATGTCACAGTGATAATATCATTTTGGACCGTTCTGGTGGCACGCTTGAAGGATGGGAATATAAATGCAATTCATATGATTCTTCAAGTCATAATATCATGTCATCTGATATTAAAGAAATTACTTATAAAAATAATATCAATGATAAATCTTCAGTTCTTATTAATTTTCATGTTACATCATATAAATATGGGCTTTTTCGCGACAAGATTGTTGTTACAAACAAAAATAATGCGGATCAAGTTGTTGAAGTTGAGGTTAGACTATTTGTTGACCCAGACACACTTTCTTTCTTGACTGAGGATGAATTTCCTATATCTAAAGCTAATTTATTTGATAATGGAAAGCTAAAAAACTCTGAAATTTTACCAATAATTTCCTGGGAGAACATTTTTGTAGCAGTTAATAATGCTGAATCAAATTTATCCATTGAGACAGAAATTAAAGAGTGCGCAAAGAAAGAACTTAAAGCTTTCATTCAAAAAGAGAATAGAGCGGCCTCCACTCCATTATATGAACGATGTGCTGAAATTTGTAATAAATCACCTTCACATGTTATGCAGATTCTCCCATTGAGTGATTTAGATATAGTGACTCGGTGGGAACCTTTTGACAATGTCAGAGCGATTGAAGAACAAAATGATAAGCTACAACATGATTATTCACCATTCAAAATCTGTGGTCCTTTGTTTGAACTAAAGCCTGGAGATAAAGCACGTATTTATCTAAGCCGTCCACAGCCAAGCTCTTTAACTCAAGAAAAATTAATTATGATTTCAAATGGGAAAAATGTTAGTGTTCGAGGTGTATTCTTCTTGATTGATACAATTCAAAATCTAGTCGTAAAATTGGTCGATCTCTGTTCTGTATTCTGTGTCTCAAGGGGAGAATTGAGCGTACCTATAGTGAACCTTGGACGAATAGGTTATTCAAACTCTTGGTCTGACGTAAAGTTTCAATTCTCTGTGAGGAATGTATCTGACATACCACTAAATTATGAATTGGAAAGCCCTGATTATATCGAGATGGATGATAATTCCAATTGTACTGATCAAGGAGTTGTTGCTCTGAAGTATACGGTGGAGCCACGTGCTGACAAAATTATCACAGCAATACTTAAACCTCGTCTAATACCCAATTTTGCTGCTGGTGAACGCACATTTATAGTTAATGTTCTTAATATGTACAATCCTTCGAATGTCTTAACTTTAAAAGTTAAATCAATTCTCACACTGTTTGAGCTCAAATTTGATCGTCTAACACATGGTGAACTAGTAATGCCTACTCTTTACCATCCAATTCCTTCATCAGACGTTCCATGTGATGCTTGGTTCACGATCATTAATGTGAGCGATCAAGACATCCGGTTCGAAATTGGCGTAGAACTCAGACCTGATGTTTCTCAATTTGTAAAAGTTGAAGTTCTTTCCAGATATTCTAATTCTCCATTAGTAGGTGTAGTATCAATTAGTGGTAATGGTTCTACGGAAGTCAGAGTACGCATTTATCCAATTGAAACGAGTCGTATACCTTGTGAGCTATCTTGTCTCACAGATAATAAGGGTATCATCTTTGGAAACCTTTGGGTTGCAACAAAACAGACAAGTGATAATGCAGACCAGAAAGTTGCTGAGAATATACCTATTCGCGGTATTATTGCAGAATCCTCAATGTTCTCTATATCTCCAAACAGAATTCGATTCAAGACTACATGGTCTTCAGATAGTGAAATTACTGACGAAGACTATTCTGTAAGTCGTATACCGGCGGTGCCTTTAATTATCGGTGACTCAGAAGATACGTCTATCCAAAATAATTCGGTCACAATTACCAATAATTCAGATAAAATACCTCTTTTTTTCAAAGTTCAAATTGAGGGGCCGATGGAATTTTCTGCGAAAGATATTTTTAATATTACTCCTTTAGATGAAAATGGATATGGTACTGTGGAAGCAGGTCAAAAGCTCTTGCTAAGAATTGATTTTGTTAATTCTGCAGTAGCAGTATCAGAAGACATCAAGATTCATATAGTAGATTTAAAATCACTCTATGGACAAAAGAGAACTATTCTTGTCAGTATTGAATCCGACATTAGAGAAAATCGCAGCAAAATAAATTCTACTGCTTTAGAAGCAATTGATTTTATTAGGAATCCTTTAGCACCTTCATTGGAAGGTATCCACACGTACAAGGAATCCTCATCCGGCCTTCCTCATATTACTCTCCGTGGATGCAAACGAATTGGAGGATCTACCGACCTTAGTGGCCGATATGAACTGGACCTTGGACAACAAGATCTCGGATCCACTACCATCGTAAAAAAACTAACACTCGAGAATTCAACTTCACAACAAATTTCTTACCGCATTAAAACAGTTTTCGAAAGCGATAAAAATTGGCTCAACATTAATCGATTTGAAGGAACATTAGAGGCGTTAACAGATGATTATGAGCAACGTCTAGATGCTCATACAATTACGCTGAGTTTTTCTACAAATACCAGAAATGTACATTCAACTTATTTAATTATCGAAAATTTGAGTAATCCCTCAGATATCAAGACTATAAGAGTTATGATGGAGGTTTGTATGTTTTATTTTGCAGCAATTGATCGGATAGTTTTTTCTTATCATTCTGATGTTTACAGGTTGTCGCTCGCCAAAATTTGCGACGAGGGACAAGTGCACCACTTTCTAATAATCACGTCTTTGATATTTACGTGAACGGTGTAGATATTAGCCATACCTGGATTGAGATGCTCAATCTTTTTTATGGTTCTGAATATTCTGCTCGTAGCATGGTGATTTATAATAGAGAGACTGTCCCCCTTGAGTTCACGGTATGAATGTTATAAATTACAGTAACTATGCGAATTATGAAAGAAATTTACATGCGTCATTGTTTATTCTCCACTTCTGTTTAACAGTTTCAAACAAATCTCGATTATGATGACCCGACCGAAATAGTGTTTTCCACATCAAGAATCACCGCAAAATTATTTAAAACGCTTACTGTTGAACCTGAAAGTAACGTACGAGTCTACATTCGTTTCCGACCACTTCCTTCTCGAGAAATTCAGAAAACACTTGACAATAATGAACAAAGAGATCCCGAATTAATAGAGACAAAAATAATTGAAATATATGTGAATTGTAGACTTGTTAAGGATTATCAGCAAACTGTTATACTAAAAGCGGAATGCAAAATTCCGTCATTACGAGTGGAGTACGAGGACTCGGAGGCTTTGACAGGTAAGGACATAAATATTACGTCACACTTTGTTATTTTTATTAATCAACATTATTTTTAATTAGGAAAAATATATCGACAAGATTCTAATTGCAATGATGATGAATTTACCGTGCAATTTGATCAAGAATATCGAGAAATTATGATTAAGAATTTGCTTGATGCTCCACTAGAATATGAAATAGTTAATGACACAATGTACTTCATTTTGGACGTCTCTCATGCCAGTAATATGGTAACTCCAAGATCAGATCATCGCATTATTGTGCGACCAAATGTTAAAGCTTTATTGAAAAATGCCGAAAGCGTTCGGAGGGTGTGTAGCATTACCATATATTTACGAAATAACGCTCATGCCCGTTATTTCGCAAATAAACTTTATTACAATAAGTGAAAGACTAACTCATTTTATCCTAAATAATATAAGGAAAAATATATTCAAGAGTATGTTACAGTATATAACCGAAATAGGCCGTCGGAAAATTACTGGATACCACTTAGAATAAGCTTTGGTTACTTTAAAAATTTTCAGGTTGGTATTTTAACAAATTTTAGCATTACACCTGTATTTAAATTTTATATCATTGTTTTTCTTTTAAAAATTATATAGTTAACATCGGGTTATAAAGCTTCATACGCTTTTGGCGTTCTTGAGAATCGTGCTGTGAACTTCCTGAATGATTTTAATCGTAATTCACAGAATCTTTCTTTACTTGGTACTTGTAACGATGAGGTATGGTCCGAAAACATATTTTTCGTAACGTTAATTTACTTAATAATCTTAATTATTTCAATAAATAGGACTTTAAGAAAAAAATGCTAGACCTTGAATTCCAATATTTCTACATTGTTGACCAATTAGTTTATTATTCCACAATTAAAACGGGAGAGAATTGGTTTCAGTTAGCTAGTTTATTATTTGGGTAAGTGCAATCTTAACTTTTGTTACTTGTTTATGGTCCTTCGCAAGCTATTAAGAGGCTATTATATTAGAATTGTGTTGAGGGATCAAGTTTTTCGAAATTATGGACCGGCATATCTTAAGAAACCTGATGATGGAACAGATAAAGTATGGCCCCCGCACTTAGCAAAATGGGTTGGTTTTAATAATTTTCCTAATTTCTAATACAAGTTTAATGAATTGAAGATTTAATATTAACTTTATCTTAATAGATATCACCGTTAAACTATTTTATTTCATTTTTTCCTTATCGAAATCCAATGCTTGAAACATTGAAGGACCTTCACAAAAATTTAATAATTTTAACAACTTTCACAAACTGATTTATAAAAACAATTGTATTTCATTAGAATATAAATTAAATATTTATTATAATTTTCTTTAATGGCAAAATTTTAATTTCTCCAGACTAATCTTCGTAAATATTATATTACGAACTTTTGTATTATAAACTAAAATATAAACTTGGCTTAATGTATAAGTGAAAAAAATAAAAAAATCTACAATAATTATTGCATCGTCGGCTTTTATAGAAAAGAATAAAATATTTTTTAATTTAGTACGATTAAAATAAAATCCATTGCTTGTAAAAATTTTTTTGCTTACCATTGTCACGGCTGATTTTGTGTGATCAACATCTTCATGTCTCCATAAAGAAGTTACCGTTTTAGTTTGTGTGTAAAATTGTAATCCACTTCTTCCATCTAATTTGCCATATAAATATCAGTAAAACCATATTAACTTAATATATAACATTATTAGAAATACTTGCAGAAATTAACATCTCCTTGAATAGAAGCCTTATTTCCGGTAAATGAGAACATTGGTAAGGGAACCGGAATTGGCACATTTACTATATACAAGTAATAGAAGTTTAGAAAATTCTGCAATTTTGGCTAAAAAGGTGAAAAAATGAAAAGAAATGAATAAATACCACCAATTTGCCCAACTTCAATGGATGTTGTAAAATAACGTGCATTGCTTCCATTACTTGTGAAAATAGCAGTGCCATTTCCATAAGGATTATCATTGATTAATTTAATAGCATCATCAAGAGTATCAGCATTTAAAGTAATAAGAACAGGACCAAATATTTCCTCCTGTAAGTTTTTTTTTAAAAGTTAGGTTATTTAAATTACAAACATAATAAAATAGGTTATACAGCTTAATGACCTTGTAACAATCCATATGAGGTTTAACATCCGCCAAAATAGTTGGTCCTATATATGCACCCATATCGTAAACTTACATTGAGTTTCGGCATTTTTAAACACGAAATGAGTTATACATACCGACAAAGTTTCCGTTCTTATACTTTTCTGGAACTGCTGGGTTACGTCCATCTAATATCAATTCTGCACCTTGATCAACACCACTCTGGATTAATTTTTCAACGCGTTCTTTAGCTTGACGTGTGATCAAAGGCCCAAGATCTGTGTCAGGTTCCATTCCACCCGAAACTTTGAGTTTACTTGCACGTTCAACGATATCTGGTAACCATTCTTTTGCTTTACCGACAAATACAACAGTAGACAGTGCCTTAAAAGTTTGAAAGGCATTAATACTGTAACTTTTGGATTATCGTTATATATTGAATAATATAAATACATAGAGTATTTGTAATCAAATGGTCCTTCGGAGCTATGTAGATTTGTGAGCATATTTGAGTTGCTGGCCATTTAATAATTAAATTTAAATAATTTTCTACCTTATTTGATTTTGTATAGCTTAGTGAGCTATATAATGTGAATAAAAAAAGGCCTATTCAAATTGAACCATTAGATACCCAACCAATTCAAATTTTGTTCGCAAATATACATAGCTCCAAAGTTTTGTTTTTTTTTTTGCAAAGATTAAAATAAACGAAATAAACAAAATATTACCATGCAACGTTGTCCAGCAGCGCCAAATGCAGAGCCAGCGAGCTGATTTAGCGTATGATTCTATCACAAAATAATAATGTTTTAAGTCAGTGGTCACTTTTAAAATAACAAATTTCAATAATATAAATTCACAAACTTTATTGGCATCGGGCATAACGACGCCATGATTTTTCGCGCCTAAGTTGGCCTATTAATAAATTTAAATAAAATTACTTGTTCATATAAAAATAATAAACAAAAATATCAAATTCTATACAAACTTGCACCCGTTTGCCGTTTGCAGTCCCTCGTTTATAAATATATTTGCCAGCTAATAATAAAAAAGGTACATGTCAACAATGTCATTGATGCTCATCCGATTTAAAGGTTTCATATGTATATATAGAAAGCTACCGCGATCACTTCCGACAAAAGAGATAGCTTTTATATGCTCATTGTCACATATAAAGTTTACAGCATCGACAGAACCATGAACAATATTGAGAACACCATTTGGTACGCCAGCTTCTTTGGCCAATTGGGCTAGAATCATTGCAGCACCTGGATCACGTTCTGAAGGTTTAATGATCATAGTGTTCCCCGCGGCAATTGATAAAGGAAACATCCATAATGGAATCATTGCAGGGAAGTTAAAAGGGCAAATTCCAGCAGTAACACCCAATGGTTCCCGGATTGTAAATGTGTCCATGTCAGTAGCAACTGCCAATTGCTCGCCCATAAGCAAATTCGTAATACCACAAGCAGTTTCAACAACTTGCCTCCCTCGCAAAACATCCCCCTTCGCGTCGGCAAAGGTTTTTCCTTGTTCTTCAGTGATAGATTTTGCAAGCTTGTCAGTATGTTCTCGGATCAAAAGCTGAAGATCTAACAAGATACGTTGCCGTGAAAGAATAGAAGTTTTTCTCCATGTCTTGAAAGCCTCAGCAGCAGTGTCAGCGGCAGTTTTTAATTCTTCAGGAGTAGTTTCGGGAACGAGAGTAACCAACTCATTTGTTGCCTAAAGGGATAAATTAAACAGTGAAATTGTGGGAATTAATAAAAAACCCTCGAGATTTATTAAACATACTGGATTATACAATGGTATCCATTTGTCCGTCTTCGATTCCACAAATTCACCATTAATGAATAATGGGGTTGTGCGTTTTGTATTAAGGGAGTTCACGGGAGAAACTGGTTGTAAAGACCGTACGCTTGTCGAAAACGTGCGGATAACACGAATTCGTTTAGCGTGACTTGCAAATTTGGATAAAATAATCTTACGAAGCATGGTATATAGCAACGACTATTACTATGCCGATCACTCATGTCATACACGATTTATTAAAAATTTTTTATATTGTTTTGATATATATCGATATACTTTATTCCACTTAAAAGATATGTATGTATAAATTATATATGTATGTATATGTAATATAGCATTTATCGTTATATATATTTATCATTATAAAAAGTAGGTGACTCCATAATTGTTTTATACAAATTTGACGCCCAGGGCCGATTTGTACTCTTAAAGAATGCCAGTCTTGATTATTATACAAGAAGGACAAATTTTGTCCTGGGCATCAAATAATAAAATTCCATATAGTATTTATAAATTTGCGAATGTTTTTATGGTATGAAAGAATGTAATAAATAACCACATTAGCGATAGTCCTTAAAATCGATCAAAGATCAAAGCATCTTTATCATTAGCATCGATTGGCCAAAGTCTAACATCATTAGTTAACGGATAATAAGCACCAAAAGTCCTTGTCAAAAATTCTTCCATGCTTTTTCCAAGAGTATCTTTCCTCACCGACCAATTTAAAATTATGATAGCTTGATGTTGAGTAAGCACTTGATTAGTGTCAAGCGAAACTAAGATTTTTTCCTGAATTTCGAAGGGCAGATACATAAATGATATGACAGAAGGCGACGACAGAGTGATAGAATTAGATATGTTTGATCTGATTGAAAGGCTACGACGAGAAATTGCTAAAGGAATAGAATTGTTGATAGTTGTGGTACAGTATGCAGAAGTGTTTAACATAATCCTAGCAGCTTTCAGAATTCGACAAGCTACTTTATATTTTTCTTGTTGAAGAAGAATATTTCTTGTTAAATAACCTTGTATTAAATTTCCGACTGCCCCCCAATCCTCGAAATTGTAGTCTAATTGTACCCTTTTTAAATTTGTATTTTGTTCCAAAGCTTTAGCCAAAACTAAATGTCCATCAGCACCGATATTACTATTCTTGTAAAGGGAAAGATTTTGTAAACTCTGATTTAATCTCAACGCTTCAGCTATCGCGTTGATTCCTTCCAAGCCAATGCCACAATAAGAAAGGACCATCGATTCCAAAGTCTTATTTTTATGAAAGCCAACAAAAAGAGCCTCACAACCACTGCTACCGATTGGATTATGAGATAGATTAATCGCACGAGGTACAACATGATTCTCGA